CTTCATCTAATGCCAGATGATTTTACTTATCGAGGGAGAGTGCTGCTGCTCATTGAGCTCTGATTGAGTTCACTGAGTGGCAGCACTTTCCCCTTCACGAGTGAAATTGTCTGGCGTTAGACAGAGTAAAATAATCTTGCGTTCAATCAAGCAGCTACTTTTTCAAAAGCTCAACCAGGCCAAAGATTCTTTGATTTGAAAACCAAAGTGATAGTGAACTAGTTAGTTGAAACAAACAGAATTGTTTGATTTATTTACTTTCCACAACATTGACAATTAAAATTTAATTTATTACTTTTCCAGTATATTGACATTATATAAGTTCAGATTAGACTACCATTACCATTAAGGGACCATCAACCAATCAGATATATTCGATCAACCATTATAATGAAAGTGTGAGTTTATTCATAAACTAATTATAAATCAACTTGCATGCAATGCTTCATGCAATCATCTAGTTATACACCAGTCAATGTAAATCCCTGCCCCCAACCGGGGAGGGGCGGAAGGTTTAACGGGGAAAATGGTCAGTTTTGATTATAAATTTGTCCCCGATGATGGGAGACTTGGACAGTGGTTAATATATATATATATATATATATATATATATATATATATATATATATATATATATATATATATATATATATATATATATATATATATATATATATATATATATATATATATATATGTATATAGTACCAATATATAGTCATTGCGTGTTTCGATGTGTACTATACACACTTTACGCGATCATCAGGCGACTGACAGATATTATTCAATATTCATAATAAATATGGGTTATCACTTTACAACTTGATTAATTAAGTAGGTAGCTATCTGGTTACATGTCTACATTTGGAAAACAAGTCAGAGCGTTTGTTCATGCATTCAGTTTTCTTCGCTTTCATAATAAGTAGTTTCTTCTCGAGGCATAAATTGCACCGTTCAGATCCTGGTTTGTATGCTTTGACTTTCTTCATAATGGACCACTTTATTGTATACTGACTTTTTTCTGACTTCAATTTCCAGACATACTTGGATAGTTCGGTGTTGTACTTCTATTCCTCATGTTGGAAAGACTGAGTGTGATTGCGGTATCTTGTTTTGAAATCGTCCGCCGTCATGCCAATGTATATTTTCTTTTCCTGATTGTTGGCCGTGCTGGTTGTCACTTCGGTTTTGTGTACGATGCTCTCAGTAAGACATTTTTACCAAGTGGACAGTTTGCGGTTTTTTGGCAGTTGCACATTGGCGTGCCGTTTTTTGTAGGTGTTGGCATTATCGTTGCTACAGATGATTGTATTATGAATATCTTGCGTTGTCTTGTCTTGTCTTCTCTTGTCAAGATATATCCCTGTCACACTGCGAGGTTGCCGCTGCACTTCGTTCACGTGACGCGAACAAAGCAACTGGACCTGATGAGAGCTCGGCAAGGCTACTAAAAGAAACAGCTGAACAAATCTCACCCACTTTATCTTTATTCTACAACAAGTCACTCCAGACATGCGTATCTCCAGAGGAGTGTAAACTGGCAAATATTGTGCCGATACACAAGAAAGATGATAAAGATCATGTTGAGAACTATCGTGCAATATTCCTAGTAAGTATTATCTCGAACGTTCTGGAACGGCGTGTTTTGATTCGTCTACGTGACCATCTATTGCTGATGTTAGACAGTGCGCAGCATGGATTCATTCCTGGGAAATCCTGCATGACTCAACTGGTTAAGGTTATTGACTACATTGGGTCCTTAGGCGATTCTGGCAAGCACACTGATGTGATTTATCTAGATATGTCGAAAGCCTTTGATAAAGTGCAACACTCTCTTATCCTTGATAAACCACGCTAGTACGACATCTCTGGTAACCTGTTGAATTGGTTTACATCCTGCCTTCGTGGGCGAAGACAACGTGTTACGGTACTTAGAGCAACATAAAAAAAACGCAAAGTAACATCGGGAGTTCCTCAAATTCACGATTCACCGCACGCATATTGATCACGATTCAGGGAATGGTATTTCTTCAAATCACGAATCACGAAGAAGAAATGATTGCTAATCCCGAGTCACGAAAATATCCCCCCCCCTCCCCCAACGCACGCCGATTTAAAATAAATCTTTCCATGCTTCAAAGAATATTTTACATTTTTAAACAATATTTTACATTTAGAGCGTTTATTGTTTTACGTGAATTTCAAATTCAAAATTCGATACTAATTACAACTGCCAAATAAAGTAAATTTCCTTGAATATGGTAACCACCTGCGAATGTAAGAAAATAATTAAAAATGCCTCCAATGTCTGACGATCAAGTTTGATTCCAGCTAAAATAGTAATATAAATATTGTTTGGTTCTGATTTTTGATAAAAGTTAACATTCCTCATTTTTCTCCCGCCTCCGGCTCTCGCATCTCTCCCGCAACCAGCTCCTGTCCTCTCGCACCTCCCGCCCTTATTCTTCAGGTTTCCCGTCTCCCTGCCATCCCCCCCCCCCCTCACAATGCTTTTTCATAAAATCTCTCATAATTATGTATGGCAGTTTAGGGTTACAAGAATTGCGTGCATGATATCTTCGTTCATCGTGAGAACAATCTTGATCCAAAAAAAGAAGAAATGATCTCTGCTTGTTCCCATACAGGATGGAATTTTGAAAGCTTTAAATCGCATTTTCCTTGTATATCCTGCCCACGCACCATTAATATAAATGATTGTAACAGATTATGTTGATTGAATGAAACATACAGTATCTCTTCATTTAGATATTGACGAATGTTCAACGGGATCTCATACATGCCATGGTAATGCTACCTGTACTGATACAATCGGTTCCTTTTCCTGTACATGTTTTGCAGGTTTCACTGGAAATGGGACATACTGTGAAGGTAAGGGAGAAACAGATTCTAAGTTTCACCATTGCTTGCTTTTAGCTTCTTGTGCCCGGACTATGTGCCCGTGCAACTCGCGAGGGAAGTGCATGGGGAAAGGACGAAGACTTCGCCCAGGGCCCCCAGTTCAAAAGAGGTGATCAAATTAACGGCGGCTTTAAATTGGCTACATGAAATTGCTCAGCTGAGAAAATGAATCGTAGCCGCGTTAGAGCTTGAATAATATCCATCAAAGTGAAATCCCTTTGGCAACCACAAATCGCCGTTCCGCATGTAAGCCAGAAGCGAGGGTACTAATTCCTTACGGCTATTTTGATACCTTTTAGTTAAGTTTTATAATAATCTGACAGCCACAGATTTGGGTATCATAGATGAAAGCATTACGAGGCCACGCCCTTCCAGTTACTCTTCAGTTTTGAAAGAACTGCAAAATTTGTCTTGAAGAAAAGTTGAGGCGCCCAAACCCCAAACCCGCCATGATTAAGCTCCTGATTTTTACATTTTAATAACTATGATTTATTGTATAAATTTTATGGAACCTATAGATATTGACGAATGTGCTACTGGAGCAGATAATTGTCATGCTGATGCGACCTGTACTAATACAAATAGTTCTTTTGTTTGTGAATGTAATGAAGGATTCGCAGGCGATGGCGTAGTTTGCCAAGGTAGTGAAGTTAGAGTTTTAAATGTTTTTAATAACGTCATGTCTGCGAATAACAGAATGTCTTTTTTATATCTACGGCAAAAGTTGAAGATACTTATGATACAGTTGTGCCAATATCGTGAAGATACAATCGTGCCGTAATTATCATAATCCTCCTAGTAAGGAGGATCATGATAATTATGGCACGATTATTACGAAAATCTAATTGCTTTAAAATAAAATACAAGTAATTTAGAGTGGGACTCAGGGACAAAACTGGTGGGGATTTGGTGGCAGAGTGCCTAAAGTACAAATCATCTGGATTGGGAGGGCAAATTATCTGGGTTGGCAGGGCAATGAAAGATTTTAATTAAATTATAGAATGTTGAGTTATTAAGTAGCATCCGGGGCTTCCAGAGGGAATTGAATAGAATTTATAGTCCCAACTTTTACAGACATTAGTAAAAAATAAGGGTTTCATGCATGTTTTAACAGGGAAAACATTTTTAATCCTTAATTTAAGTGGTTTATGTCCGGAAAAATTTTTTCGACCTCCGCCTGCTCGCCAACTTTTTTTGGGGAGAAATAGTGGCCCACAAATTTTTTTGCTGCAGGGCATCATCGGCGTTCGCAGGGCAATAGCCGGTTCCCCTTATTGGGTATTCTAAATACAACTACCAGCATGCTTTTCGGACGTGTTATTGCATAATGAAGAAAATACCCGCAAAGTATCATGGTAGTTGTATTCAGAATACGTAATAAGGGGAACCGGCTATTCTAGCGGACACCTCCTAACTAAAAGGGGCTAGTTTTGCCCGTGGTGGGACTTGTGATCATATTATTCTAAAAAGAATTCTAACTGATTTTAATAGTAGAAACATTTATGCGACAAACAACTGCTTACAGAAAATATGCAAAACAAAATGTGTTGATGGAATCTAGTCGAACATTGAATGCCTTTGAGCGATGCTAAAGATTTTTGCAATGTGTGGTTGCTGCCTTGCAAACACACAATATTCAAATGCCAAATATTTAAATCTCCTAAATAATGGAACCAGAACGCTGTTGAAATGTTGATGCCGAATTGTTTATTAAGTCAATCCGTTGGTATACTACATATATAGTTTAGCGGTCGTTCCCAGAATGGGCGCCAAAACAGCCTGACGTCGACGCTTTTAAGAGCCAAATTTTTTTCGCGTAAAAATGCTCGTTCATAAAAGTATCTGATAAGTATTCATGGGGGTGTAGGGTTACAAGAATTGCGTGCATGATTTCTTCGTTAATCGTGAGAACGATCTTGATCCAAAGAGAAAACTTTGTTTGTTCGCTTACAGGATGGAATTTTGGAAGCTTTGCATTTTTCTTGTATATAACGCGCACACACCCGTACCGAATAATATTAGGAGAATTTGCCTGTAAGAATCACAAAATGTGTAGCAGATATGAAAAACTGAAAGTTATTGAATTTCCCTCGAATTTATATATATTGGAGACCTATCCAACTCCACACAGTTCCTGAAGTTTCAGCCATCAAACAAAAAATGAAGAAAAGTTAGAGCACTTCAAAAATCGTACCAAAAATGACGCGAAATGTCCATGAAATTTCGCTATATACAGCAGTCATCATCATGTGCTGTGCTGAGCGCGCATTATAGGTTTTTGCTCTGCTGTTACATTTGTCTTTAGAATATATGGAACTTTCTTGTGATATCTTTTCTCCATAAATCGAAATTTGTTGACGTGGTTATTTTAGATCAAATGTGGTTGAAATTTCCGGGTTTTCTAAACTAGCCAAAGTACGTCTTGTGAATCACCTATTTAAATTTGGTCCTACTTTCTTTGTAAATGTACGTATGCATAATTTGTTAGGGCGCTAGGATTTAGTCATTCGACGACAATTTCAAATGTTTGGGATTCTTTTGTGTCTTGGCGAATTTTGCAGTTAAACATATACAATATTAGCATAATGGGCAATTCCAGCTATGGACTAAATTGTGATTTTTGCAAGAAAAACAAAGTCCATCAGCACAGCTAGAAAGAGCATGTTAAAATTAGTAACATTACAACGTTTCGTTGCAAAATGTTGTAAAATGAGGAAAATATAGCCCTGCGAAATTTGGAAATTTTGTATTAATTTGTCAGTACGCACTGGAATTTGCACTACTTTCGGCCAAAATGTGGTATGCAAAATTTGCAAATTTCGTAGGGCTATTATTTCCCTCATTTACAACATTTCGTGGCCAAACTTTGCAATTTTACTAATTTTAACATGCTCTTTCTAGATGGATTTTGTTCTTCTTGCCTAGATCAAAATTTAGTCTATATGATCTATTATAGCTGGAATGGATCATTTGCATTATAGACCAAATTTTAATCTAAAAAAAAATTTCATCACAGCTAACAGCTTAAAGAGCATCACAAAATTAGTAATATTCCAAAGTTTCGTTGCGAAATGTTGTAAATTGCGGATAATATAGCTTTGCGAAGTTTGCAATTTTCAGTCATTTTAGATCGATTACAAAACGGGAAATTGTGCCCCAACACCCTATTTGGACTGTCAATTTCCCGTGCGTAATACAAAATGACTGAAAAACGGCTATATTATCCGCATTTTACAACATTTTGCAACGAAGCTTTGGAATATTACCAATTTCGTCGTGAAATTTTTGTCTAGATCAATGTTGTGAAATTTTTGTCTAGATCAAAATTTAGTCAATAATGCAAATGTTCCATTTTTCATTGAGTGTTCGTATTAACTGGAGCGTGACACTGTGAATATTATTTCTTAAATTTCATTTCAAAACGATTCTGTGTTTACTGTAGTGTTACGTGTAGTGTTACGTGCTCTCGAGCTGAGCGGACGTGTATTTTCTCGAGCAGAATTTTATTGTGAATTTGCTCGAATTTTGTTTTAAATTATACATATATCTTATAACAACTAATACTGATGACTAGACTTGAGTCTTTACAAAAAGAAAATCAAGCACTCCGAAGTGAGATTGCTGAATTAAAAGAGAGTCTACAAAAAATATCTAAAGATTTATCCTCGAAGACGAAGAGCCAAAATGGCCGACAAAATGATAAGAAAGAATTGTCGCCAGATAGAGCTAATTCAATTGAGTTTATGTCTAACAAATATGACGAGCTCTATTCGTTCAAAAAGGAAGCTAATAAACAGATTCAAGATCTTACTGCTAAAGTAAATAAGATATCGGAAAAATGTGAACGTATTGCGAAATTTATTGAAGAATCGGAAGCTTATAGCTATCAGTATGACATCAAGATTGTCGGTGTCCCAGCAGTAGCTGAGAGGGAAACTGCTCAACAGACTGCCGATCTATGTAATAAATTATTCACTGCACTGGGAGTTGAAGATGTTTCGATAAGTGACATTGATACGGCACATCGGGTGCCATCACGTTTGGCATCAAGTAGACCAGAGGCTATAATATGCAAGTTTGTGAGACGACTCGCTAAAGACAAAGTCATGGCTGCCAGAAGGGCTGTAGGTAACTTGAATGCAGCACAGCTACAGTTAGAAAGCAGTGCAAATGTAAATCATATTAGTTTATATGACCATCTAACCCCGAGAATCCAAGAGCTATTGTACAAAAGCAAACAGACCAAAGCTGCCAAGAACTATAAATATTGCTGGGCGAAGAATGGCTTCGTGTACCTGCGAAAGACAGATAATTCACCAGCGATAAAATTGAAAGACTTAGAAGACCTAGACGAAATAGCAACGTCAAACTAGATAAGTATTTATTCATATACAAATATCCTGATTAATGTGTTAAAACTCTACAACTATGCCTATGGAGACACGTAGAATTAAGTCTAAAAAGAAGGCTGCTAAATTATTATTAAAAGAACTCCCCTTTTATAACTTTAGAGGCGATTTAGTATCATGCCTTGGTCAGTTTAATAACTCAATCCCTATTACTTGCCAACCTAGGAAAAATTTAGATAAATTAGCTGGCCTATATGACTTGAATATTTTTTATTTTAACAATGATTTAGATAATGCTCTGAGGAGCAATCATAATATTCATAGCCAATGCATCCAAAGCCGATATTTTTCTGTGCATAGTTTTAAGAAGTTTAGCAAAAAGCTTTCCGAAAATGAGATTCAGACTAGTTTCTCGATATTTCATAATAATATCGTGAGCGTAAACCGAAACCTAGAAAACTTGACAGTTCTATTAGATGAACTTAATTTCCATTTTAGCATCATTGGAATAACAGAAACTAAAATAACAAATTCAAATGAAAGCAATTTTCATCCGACCATCCCAGGTTATTGTTTTGAACATGTGCCAACACCACTGGCTTCCGCAGGCGCTGGTTTGTTTATTGAATGATTGTTAAATTATAATGTTCTTGAAAAGACCAGTAACACGGCATTTCAAGCATTGTGGATTGAAATACCGTTTGTCAATCACAAAAATATTGTGTGCGGAATAGTCTATCGACAACACAATTCTCCTGAATATTTTCAAAAATCGAGGAATTCGTGTCTAGTGATAAGGTAATTTATATCATGGGTGATTTTAATGTGGACCTTCTTAAATGTGAAAAATCTCAGATAAGTCATGACTTTTTATTAGCATTGCAAAGCTGTTATCTCATTCCAACAATTGACAAGCCTACACGTGTTCGTACAACTTCTGCTACGTTAATTGATAACATTTTCATTAATAACCTGGATAAACTACTTACTAGTGGAAATATTATCTCTGATGTAAGTGATCATTTTTCACAATTTTGTATCACAACAGATGTAAAGGATAAAACCATAAAAAGAAATAGTGCTACAATACCTGACTACTCGGGATTCTCAGTTGAAAAGTTTAACAATGATCTTTCTCAAGTTGACTGGGATAAGCTGGGGGAATCCAGAAACGATGTGAATAAGTTGTTCTATACATTTTATAACAAGTACAATAAAATTGTCAAAAAGCATGTGCCTATTAAAAAAATGTCAAATCGTAAAGCAAAACAATTAATTATGTAAGCCTTGGATCACCAAAGGAATTAAAGCGTCGATTTCAATTAAAAATAAATTGTACGCTATAGGTGAAAGATATAGACGTTATAGAAATAAAATTTGCAGCTTGATAAGGTTAAGTAAGAAGAAGACATATTATCAGGAGTACTTCACACATAACATAACAAATATGAAAAAAACTTGGGAAGGAATTAATGAGATACTTTATCGTTGGAGGAAGATTTCTAAGACCATGATGGTAAAGTCATCAATGAAGCCTCGCAAATTCCTCACATTATAAACCAGCATTTTGCTACAGTAGGTAGCAAACTTGCTAGTAAATTGCCATCTTCACACCATCATCTTGACTATGTCAGTAAATGCAAATCTCCTGCTTCATCCTTTTATCATCAACCTGTCTTACCTGAGGATATCAATTTAGAAATATTATCTATACCAAATAACAAATCATATGGCTTATATTTATTTTTATTTATTTATTTATTAGTTTCGCCAAATTATACAATACACAAAACTATAACAAGAACAAGAATAATAGACATGACTATAGGCAGGGTGACCGCAACAGCGTGAGCCAATTACTCAATTCCTCACCCACTAATTTACTCAAATGCTCAAGAGCTATCATATCTCTTATACTCTCAGAAATACTTAACACATCTATTAAATCAGGTATTTACCCCACAAAACTCAAAATTGCAAATTTTATTTAATTAATCTAATAAAGCACAGATTGAGAGTGTTTTAAAGAGCTGGGCTTAGAAGAACTACCCATCTTATGAGTTTAACCGATCTTTATTGTCCAGCGATAAATTTGATATTTTTTATTCAATTGCTTCTGATTACCCCATTTTAAAACGGAAACCACAGTTGAGTACAAGTTACCTGAGTACAAGCATCATATTCACATGAGTACATTATACCAGCACAGAAAACATCAGGTAACATTTTCGTCATGAATTATTAATTAGTACAAACTAGCTATTACATAATGTTTGTAGCCATGATGAAATTTTCCATTTACAGTAAGTCTCAGATGCCAAAGGTACGTGAATGAATTAAAGTATTGAGTGCATAAAAAGTGCATAAAAAATTAAAGGAGATAACATGGGACTTTTTTGCTGTTATTAATTAATTGATTGATTCTCTTTTAAAGACAACAAAAGTAATTCACTTTAAATTGTTTTTGCAATTAAATTTCACAACATGTTTTTATGATGACTGCATCAAAGAAAATTGAAAATGATAAAATAAAATAGTTAGTTCTTAGTTACTGCACTACTATTGCACACAATGTAATCATCAAGGGAATAGTTGACTGTTGCTAAAAATTGGTTACTGTAGCAGTGTAGTGCAGTGGTTTTAAGTTCACATAATTGTTAAAAACAATGTTCCTGTCTCTTTCTCTTAATAGTTATTGCAACATATTAATCCAGTGGTGATATCCACAGCACTTTCCGGAGCCAAATGTTATGCTATAAAACGGAATAATGGATTCAAATACCTTTTTGAAAATGGAGTGACAACCCCAAGTAAAAGTACAATAGAAAACAACATAAAGAAAAACAAGCTGGGTGAAGTAAATGTCAACAAGAACTTCCTAAGAGAAAATATTGAAGAGACTACTATCAAGAATAAAAATTCCAATAAATCACGTGCGGTGATATTTTGACGTTCATTGGTGAAAAAACAACTCCAGGATAGTCTTGACAAATGTAAGTTTTAAGATATACTGTTAAACGTCCAATTTGGAGGAAAAATGTTGCTCAGTAACCTACAAAATGGTTTACACATCACTGGCAAAAATCTGTGAATCAAAAGATGCTTTTTTAAAAAAGTAACATCACTTTTCACTACCGCTGTGGTTTGGTACACGTTTTTGTTAACATGGGACATAAAATAACATTTTTTGCAATTTCCAAATTTACCAAGCATGTATGACATGTATGTGTAATGGTTACACTGTAATCATCATGTACATAAATTCTGTATCATAAGTTATTCTTCTTCATCATCTACATGTTTTGCATAACATATTATGTTGAAGCATTAATTTAGGGACCGGTCATTAATTACAGGGGAGGGGGGCTGGTGGAAAACGAGGGAGGGTCAGGTATTTTCATGCATGAAAAAGGGGGGGGATTTTTCTGGAATATAAATACCTGCCCCGCATGACCCTCAGTTGTACCATAAAACCTACAGATAAAAATAGAGACGGCAGTAGAACTGTAGTAAACTCCAACACAACACCATTTATTAAAATGATTTCAACATAAACATGTACATTGGAACAGCCGTTGACTCAATAAATGGTAAAGAATATATAAATTATGATAATGAAAACATACGTACCGGCATAGGTATTCAACAATATGGTTTTGTATATCTAAATAAAAGCTACCAAAACTTGTGTGTATAAGGTTTAGAAGACTCTGAAAATGCCATTTCCAACTATCTAGAGACTCCATATTTTCAAATTTTTCAGCTCAGCGCCAACTATGGTGCCTTGTGGGTCCCCCAAAGCAAAATCTTAAATGTGCCTTCACTTTACAAGAACTTTAAATTATGAATGCGCCTTTTGTTATTTGCATGTGTGTGTAGGGGGGGGGGAGGGTCAAGTATAATTGTGTTATCCTCAAGGGGGGGGGGATTAATTTTAGCATTTAAATTTTCATTTCCACCAGCCGCCCCTCCCCTGTAATTAATGACCGGTCCCTTATTTCATTTTGTTGAAGGATTTATTGCATAGCATGTGAAATATGTGTTTATTTAATTAATAATTAAATGTATTTTTTTCTTGCAGTACTACATTACCAAACTCCAGTTGATGAGTTGGGTAATTTCTAATTTAAAAAAAATTAATGGTTATCACTCATTTAATGTGTCCTTTCACTGTAGATGAAACTTTGACAGAGGAAAAAGAGCTATCCATTGTTTGTAAGTTTTTAAACATAATTATTTCTATTTGTCAAAATTGTCTTGTATTAGACAGAGTAACATAATGTAGTGTGCATTATGATACAGTGCAACTTGATGGGTTACAGGTAAACTTATATGGGAAGTGTTCCTCTTTTCACTTCCTGACTCATTCGGAATTTTCCTCATTAGCTTTGCAAATTTGAAAAACTATTTGCAAATATCTTGAGGGAATTTGCAATGTTCCTATGGGCTGTTGCAATATTCCAATGCAAAAAGAAACTTCATTTTAAATTTTCTTAACTTCCTGTTTTAATTTCCTGACTTCCTGGTCTGAGCATTGTCATTGGTAGCCTCCTGCGCAGACGTTGTTATAGGCCTCGGCCACTATAAAATAAACAACGTCTGCGCAGGAGGCTATGTCATTGGTGGATTATTTTTGTTGGTGGATTATTTTTGTTGGGCAATTGCAACGCACAGAACAGAACAGAACAGGAAGTTAGGAACTTGTAAAAGGAAGTTTAGAACTTCTAACAGGAACTTATCGGCTTTTAGCAACATTGCAAATTCCCTCAGGTGATTTGCAAGGGAGTTTTTTAATTGCAAAGGTTATGAGAAAACTTGCAATCAATTTAGAAACTCAAAATAGATTGTAATATATTTTGAATATGTTATGTTCCAAGGTTCTGTAGACAACCAATGGCTTGTAAATGACAATAAAATAGTCGCATATGGCAAAATGGAAAAGAATATAAATCCTGGCACCAAGATAAACATTGAAGAATCAGATATGTCTCATTGTAATTTCCATGTGGGAACACGGGTGAAAGTTGCAATAAATGAACAGGTATAGCAATATCAAATGAACACCTAAAGGTAGATTAGCTTTAAAAACATTTTGCTGTACATACTCAAACTAAATGTAGAAAGCTAGCAAATATTTTGCAAAGTGTCAGCCACTGCCCCCCCCCCCCTATGATGGATTCTGCAAAATAGTACCTTCAGTTATTTTTGTTTTTAATTTGTCAATACAAAATAAATATTGAAGTAATGTTTTGATACACTGAAAAAATTTAACCGATTGTGGATATCCCAGTACGAGATTATTTCAATCTAACACCAGATGATTTTACTCATCAACAGAAAGGCACTAACTAGCCTGCGTAAAGAATGTATATGTCATAATCTATGAAACATTGTGGTGGCATTCATGGTTATCAACACACAGAAGTGCTACCCAGATCTGGTCATAGTTAATTAAAACTTTGAACATTCTGAATGGAAAGGTCAATAAAGGTCCAAACTTCCAGCCGTCTGAACAAAGTAAAAAATAAATCGAACTCAGTAATTGTCGTTATTCAAAGTCAAACCGGATGTTCTCTTGCAAGCAACATTGTCTCACAATATTGCAATTTTGAAAGCCAGTTTGCTCTGAGCATTTTGCAACTTATGAGAACAAATTGCAAGTTGAAATTCACAAGAAAGAGGGAAGTACCAATCCAGTTGCCCAGACTATTTGATTAGCTTCCCACTATTTTATAGTCAAAAAAATCTTTTGTGAATTTCCAACTTGCAGTTTGTTTGCGTCTGTTGCAAATTGCTCAGAGCAATCTGCCTATCAAAATTGCAAGATTTGTGGGACATTATAGTGCAATGTTCCTTGCAAGAGAACATCTGGTTTGACTGTAATAAGAACAACACTATGATAAACTTTACAGAACACCAAGGAAGAAGAAGAATCTGAAGAAGAATCTGAAGAAGAATCTGAAGAATCCGAGGATGATGATGCCACCAAAGAACCTGGTGATGCCACCAAAGAACCTGGTCATGACACCAAAGAACCTGGTCATGACACCAAAGAACCTGGTCATGACACCAAAGAACCTGGTCATGACACCAAAGAACCTGGTCATGACACCAAACAACCTGGAGTAGTAGTGGAAACACGCGTAGCGGAAGCACGGAGTAGCGGAAGGAGTAGTGGAAACACGCTGCAACATGGCGGCTGCAAAATTTCGAGCTCCGTCAAATTATGATTTAAAAATGTTATTTATTGTCTGAAAGAAGTCACCTCTACAAACAAATTTGATCTTAATTGCTACATAGTACTTTGTTCTCACAAATTGCAGAAAGAAGAAAGCTGATTTGGTACATGAAGCGAATTATTCAACGATTTGGTGAACAATTCTACACGATTTGTTATACATGTCACATTGTTAATATTGCTAAATAACGTGATGATTGACGGTGGCTTGATCGACGATGGGGT